TTTCAATTCCACCCTCTTTAGTTAGCTTCACAATTAGAGACAATTAGGATTTTTAAAAAAAAGATTTTATTTTTGTTGACCATAATAAAAGCCATCTTTCACTTGGACATTAACTAACAAGATAATAAACTCAAACAATGTTCCCCCTTCTCATAGTTGTTTGATTGTTAACCCTAATAAAAAAATACAAAGATTTTCTTTTTATCATCATTTTTAGTCGCTTTTAATTTTTAGGGTTGCATTTCATATAGTGTAGGAATTCACCAAAGTGATTGTAGCACTTGATTTGGCACACACTTAAAAATATTTTTAAGGGCAAAACCCCATAATCAAGATAAGGTGAGAGATTTCACCACCTTTTCCTTAGCCCAAGTATCACTAATTCCTCACTACACTACTCAAGCCTAATAAAACTCATTAGACGTTGGCCCTAAGGACTCGAGCTCAATAAGGAACAAGAAATCCTGAAGTGAACCGGTTTAAGTTTTCTCAGATTAGTTGGTGTCTAAGGCAAGGTTTAGGTGTTGCGTAAAGCGCTCCGCAAGGAAAGAGGTACTTAATTGATCTTTGATCACCCTCTAGTACTATCCTTACCTGGCTAACTACCTGGATAAAACTTTAATCTTTTCACTGTAGGAGTTTTTAGTTAGGAGCTGGTCTAGTTGAGTTAGGCTAACCCTAGAATTAGAGTGATTGAAAAGTGATTGCTTTAATTTGTTTTAGCTAGGATTTTTCTTTATCTTTTTCTTCTCATAAAAAAACTAATTTTCTTTCTTTCTTAAAAAAATTTATAAAAAGAAGTTGTTTTGGTGTATGCAAACTTGGGTTAGGGATAATTCTCATCGTTTAATCCGTGTTGAACCAATACAAGAAATGACAAATCAACCCGTTCTTCAGGATATATGTTACCCTACCAGAAATGTAATTTCATCTTGCATAAGGCTCCCCGAAGCAACCGCATTACATAAACATGCTTCCTAAATTCCTTGGAAATAAAACAGAAGATGCATATATTTTTATTTCGGAATTTGAGGAAGTGTGTATTATGATTAAAATGAAAGAATTAACCGAAGATGCGATTAAGCTTAGATTTATTCCATTTGCTCTAAAGGATAAAGCTAAAAAATGGATGTATAACTTACCGACAAATTCCATCTCAACTTGGGATGAATTTGTCACCGTTTTTCTTAAGAAATTTTTCCCTACACTAGACAAACAACATTAGTAATAAATTGTTTGTTAAACATCATCAAAACAAGAAGGCCAACAGATTTATGCATCAAAGTCAATGACCAACCAATTGTGTTTGAGGATGAAGCTTTATTCATTGAAGATTGAAGAAGGTACTGTAGTTCAAGACCACATCAATGCTTTTAGTCAGCTAGTTTGCCAACTTATTAATATTGATGAGGAGATTAAAGAAGAATAGCAGGTGCTACTCCTATTGTTTTCCTTGCCGAAGTCGTACAAGCTGTTACTTCAGACGATAATTGTTGGAAAGCAGACTTTGAAGTTCGACGAAGTGACAGCACTCCTACATGAGAATGAAAAAATGACGGGGAAGGAGAGTACATCTAATGGTGGTGAGAGTACATTAGCTTTTGAATGTTATAATCGAGGGAGGAGAAAGGGGAGATGTGACAGTTATCGAGAAAGATCAAAATTTTGAGCCCGAGACGATAGCGAAAGGGAGTGCTATTATTAGAAAGAGAATGGTCACATTCAGTTCAGATGCTCCCAGATACAAGATTATTTGAAGAGTATTAGACAAATTAAGCTTCAAGAAAATGGGAAGAAGGTGGACTCCTTGATGGTTATGTGTGATGAAGATGTGGTGTTGTTGATGCAGAGTTTAGGTACTGATACGAGTAAAACTTGGGTGTTAGATTCTGCAGCTTCTATGCACGTTTGCAACAACAATAATTATTTTGCAAATTGAAGACAGATGAAGAATTTGATAATGCGATCATTGGAAACAACGAGAAGATGAAGCTTGATGGCGTTGGGAGTGTTCGCCTCAAGCTTCACACTGAGAAGATCAGAATTCGTCGTTATGTGAGATATGTGTCGTTATGTGGTACTAATTTAATTTCGTTGGATGAGATGGAATCACATGGGAACAAGTTTGTTGGTGAAGGAGAGTGGTGCAAAATGTATAGCGATGATGATTTGATTTTGCGAGGGAGAAAGAATAGCAACCATATTTTCTATTTTGATGTATCTGTTAATGGTATAGATAACTCTTCTCAAACTCTTGTCCCCAAGAGAGAGGTGAAGAACAAGAAGAAGAGTGAGTTTTTCTAAAGCTGTTGAGACACTTGGAGATTTTTTGTCGAGGGAGGATATGCTGGGTACCGACTCAAACTCCAAGTCAGATGCGAGTTTGAAGGCTAGGTCAAGTCCTAGTAATTTTCATAGAGGTCAAATTAACTTGGTGGACAAGTCAAGGGTGTCTTTAAATAAGGCGTCATATTCTAGGATTTTAGAGTAGAGAGAGGGAGAGAGATAATATTCTTGTAACGGTCTTCGGCTGCTCACAATCAAGAACGGCCTCCACCTTAGTCGGATCTACCGTAATGCCTTCCGGCTGATAATGTAAGTGTCAAAAATTACCTACGGGTTCCCACACATAGTTCGAGATAAAAAGAAGATGATAAATATCATTATCTGAGTCAAAAAGGATTATCTAACATCAACAAGTGAATGGAGCGAGTCGACGAAGCATATGAATCAACGAGACGACAGAATAGCAAAGAAACAATCCAATCGGGAATTATGTTTAACTCACGAAAGACGAAGTGTAATTCGTGTCTCATCTGCTCCACATATGATTAATCCATGGGAGATTGTGGATATTTTCCCCAGTTTTCTGATGCACTTTGAATCACGTCGTTTCGAAATCGGATCGGAAAGTTACGATAAAAATAGTCAAAGGGGGAAAACGGCGTCTCGGCCAAGGCCAAGACACATGCCAGGGCCGAGACTGTCTCGGCCAAGGCCAAGGCACATGCCAGGGCTTAGACTGTCTCGACCAAGGCTGAGACTATCTCAGCATGGCCGAGACTATCTCAGCCTGGCCAGGACAGTCCCGACCCCGGAAAGGCTATCTTAGGCCTGTTTTTACTTTTATCGATGTTTCTTCAATGTTAACTGCCCTGATTCTGATCTAAAGCCTCTCTAACTGATTTGGAGTTATCTTTGAATATGGTTTAGTGGTTACAACTAAGGATAAGATTAAATCGTTCATTTTTATCTAAAAACCAAGCTTCTAAAGCCTATAAATACAGCCCTAGGGCCTTCATTTGCACAGATCTAAAAGTCTCTCATGGGGAGTTTCCTCCCAAGTTTGGCAAGACGATTCCTCACTATGTTGGTGACTATCAACACTTCATCTGATGGTGTCGTATCAAGCCCTAAAATTCCCGGTTGAAGACCACGAATATAGTTATATCTATTTGAGTTTAGAGTCCTATGATGGGTAATGAAGCCACAATGAACCCGCTCATGATCATCTGTAAGATGCCAAGGCATCTCTCGTCCTACGGCTTGCTTCTCTAAGTGTGCAAACGAGTACTGGCAAGAAATGGAAGGGATATATAGGGGACTTCCTTTATCATAATTCAGTCAATCCTCATCATCAAGGGTCAACATATCCAGATCCTCGACATGATCACCAAACAAATAATTAGGCTTCTTCATAGCTTGAGTGGAGCTAGAATCTTCAGTAAGTGGAACATCTGTGATCTACTGGCGCAATGTATGACGAGCCCCAGTTTGTATCAGCCGATGAACCTCCCTAGGCCCATATGGAGCAAACTGAGGAGTCAGGCTAATAAGCGGTCACATAACATTAGCAGCAAAGGTCTCTCCGCTATTACCACTTGTCGCATGAAGTGGGAAGCTACCCGCTGGGAACTCAACTGAAACAAATAACACACAATCAGAAAGATATATTTCTAAGATAAAATGAGGAGTTGAACTCACATGGAAAATTAGCCAGATAGGATCACTGTGTGGTCATATCGGCGAGATGATTTCAACTATTTTACACAAGAAGGACAATGTACATTATCGCGTAAGTAACATGATAATGTACCCCACCCTACAGGATACAATATAGCATGAAATCACCCCATATGCCTAAAAACGTGTATTGGCCAAGCAACACACACCTCTCAAAGCTTCAATCCCCGTGAAGGATGATATAAGATCATCCCGATTGACTCGCCAAAGAGACAAACGAGGTTGTAACATAACCTGAAATCATCCCGAATGCCTGAAGACGTGTATTGGCTAAGCAGCACACGCCTCTCACTACAACACCTGAAATCTACCATAGCGGTCGAAAAACGCTATGGTATTATTTCATAGCGTTTTAATCAACGCTGTGTCAGAACCCGCTATAGTAGGTCTGTGGTTTTACATAGCGTTTCCCCAAACGCTATCAAAAAGTTTCCAACCATAGCGTTTTTATGTAGCTATAAAAGAGTATTCAATAGCGTTTCTATATTGCTATGACAAATATCTTTCATAGCGGTTGAAAACGCTATTAGTTAGTTTCCAACCATAGCGTTTTTATGTAGCTATAAATGAGTATTCAATAGCGTTTCTATATTGTTATGACAAATATCTTTCATAGCGGTTGAAAAACGCTATTAGTTAGTTTTCATTCATAGCATTTCAACGTTGCTATTGTCTTACATTTGATAGCGTTTGAGTTACTGTAATGGCGTTTCAGTGAATGTTGTCTTTCTTCTTTTAATAGCATTTCAGTAATTATTTTCACTTCTTATAGCATTTCAATTGTGCCTATAAACCTTTGAGGTTGAACTAGAAATAACATCCAACTGTGACAACCATAAAAGCAAATATTTCATTTAAAGATTCAAACTGATACATAACCAAGTTGTAGCATACAAGAAGAGTCAACACAAATGTGCCAAAAAACAAATACTAGTCTTTGGATAGTTCAACATGGAGTACAAGAAATTAACCATAGCACACAGAACAACAGAAACCAAATTTGCTGCATTACATATGACTTGGAAGACTCATCATCTTCAGCAATTGAGTACTTGTACTGCTGCAAAAACAGAAATTAACAACACCACAATAATGAGATCCTAGAGCCATGAACATTATATGGACACAAAACATAAAACAACAACACCATTAATTAAAAATCACAAGCTTATATTAATTTCTTTAATAATTTTGTTTAAATTTGTTATTAATGAAAATAAGAAGACAATAATTTGTTCTTTATTAATTTCTACATGAAAAACTGGCTTTAATGATAACAAAGAGAGTCAATACCTTTATTTGAATGGTTAGGTTGCTCTTTTTGATCCATAGCTTTTCTTTATGGTCAGGGTGAAAGCGATTCACCTTCAGGGTCAGCATGCAGCTGGTACTCTCCAGGTAGCTGGTCTCATTTCCCTATATTGATATATAAGGCTTGAGCATTAATTTCTTGTGTGAATATTGGTGTAAACATAATTGATATAGCTGATTGCTAAATGTATAATACAAGGAGCAAATGTTGCTTACCTTGCTTATCACTGTCAAATGTCCATCAGTAGGATGTGATATTTCATTCTGACCACGTATAACAGTCCCATCCTGGAGTTCCAAAAGGATAATAAAATTAGAAAATCAGCTTTATTTAGACCAAGCCCTACTAGAGATTCTTATGCTTCAAATTCACTTCAAAAATGGTATATCGTCTAGACCACAGTATCTTTTCCGAATCAAGGAAGTGAGAAACTTAGACCTACTCTAAATATTTACGAGCAAATACAATGGCAATCTATAGTAGAATAACTGCTACACTTAAAAGCGTCCCTTAAAGATGTACAATAAACTCTGGAGGACAGCTACTCAAACCATATATGCTTTATGCATAAGAAATTTGGGTGACTAGTAAACAACTTGCATACTGAATGAATGCATAACATGAGAATGTAGGGATTGATTATAACAAGGGGGAAAATGAGGAAATCCAGTATACTGTCATTGGTTGTTTCAATTAACTAACAGGCATACGATGGAGCTCCCACTTGCATAAGGCTACAGCCTATCACCAAAATATTAATAATGATGAAAACAAAAGATAAACGATGAAATTTTGAGATAATCATGTCGACCAGGACCAACAGGTGCATAAAGAATAACTTACTATGAAGTAGGTAATAAAACCAGAAGTACAAAAAAAACTTGATCGGCTTAGTAAAATGGATTGTTGTCTATGATTCCAACACAGAAAATTGGCCTTAACAGTGCTGTTGGTTTTGGTTGTTCACAGAGGAAGAGGAGAGGGAAAGGGAAGGAGGGACATGGAACTGACCTCACAAATTACGGCAGGGAGATCCAATAAATACATGATGTGCAGTGAAAGCGCATATGTGCTCGATACTCTCAAACTATAATTGACTTAGTTATGTACTTATATTCAATACCAAAGTGTGTGATATGGTATCAAATTGGAGATCTACATGTTACTAATTTCGAATAAAGAATAGACCTCTAACAGCACAGTAAAAGGTGGCAAATGAATGGTTCACCAACACAAAAAATAAAATCACGTTTTTGAAGTCCTCAAGAACACATGATTATATATGCAGATGTTTTAGGCCATGTAGCTTATTGTCAACAGGACAGGTTGTCCATTTGAACAAAACTCAAAGAAAAAATGCTCTCCTGTTTAATTTCTGAGTATATGAGCCAGAATAACTAAGTAATACAGATTAATCTGATAATAACAAAAACCAGAGGAAAACAACTGTAGAAAACAGCACTAATAACAAAAGATAAAGTATCAATTATAAACCTTAGTACATAAATCAAGTTCTGCGTAGAGTATGGTGTGATCTGTATGCAAACCAAGCTATAGTAGGCGCATGAGATCAGCAGCAACATGAATGTGAGCTTAACCAGAGTATGCAAACCAAGTGTAAGGGTAAAGCATAGAAGCTGAGATCAGTATCACACAGAAAAGAGTATGCAAACCAAGTGCACTTTCTAACCACAACAGCATTTAAAGTAGTCACCAATTATGTATAACTTACCAGCTTTTCAAAGCATAACAACTTTGTCTGACGGCCAAGCTATTGTCGTACCAACGGCATCTTCAATGCATTCTAACTCAGATGTCGGCCTCCAAAGAGATGCACTAGGGATCCTAGGGATATCAACCCAAACACGCATAGCATTAGGACCTAAAGGAACGAAGTGAACAACCTGGTTCGGATCACTTGAAGACCAATGTCCTTCAGCAACTATCTTTCCCGAGCCACCAATATCTAACAAGTTGCACTTTTTCTTTGAGTTGTTCACACTCTAGCAACAATACAAAAACAGTGATATCAATTATAGAAAAGAAACTAGTATAATCAAATATCAAAATAATGATAGTATCAGAAAAAAAGGTTACCGAAGGAGATGATATGTTTGTAGATTCCACATTGTTAATTGAGATATTTTCCAATACAACCTTGTCAGCAGGCCACGCTACTTTAGTGCCAATAGCATCTTCAATAGTGAAGAAATTACAGAAACTCAGAAGAATCAGGCAAACCAGGCGGCGGTCGACCGGTCCGGTCGACCGCATTCGTGCACAAGGCTTCCTGTGCG